TATTATATAATTTTTTTTATACTTATTTTTTCATTTTTAAGATTTAAATTCAAGATTTTATTTAGAAATAATTAAATTTTTTTCAGTAGAATCAAACATGTTATTGGTATATAACCCTCTAATTGGATATTAAAAAAGAACAACAAAAATACAATTAGATTGACACAGGAGAAATGCATACAGCAAGATCACAGCTGAATTGGAACCTGAACACTAACTAGACTCTTTTTATTTAATAAAAGGACCTACTACCACGATGGCTTAACCATGACATAACCAAAGAAGGATTAAACCGTGTCCATCTTCAGAGACATTACTTAATTAACCAGTTCCACCAAGGATAGCCTTGAGCTTCTTAACTTGAGCATCATCAAGGAAAGTAGTGTCCTCAATCAGTTCAGAAGGCAAATCATTCCCAAACAAAGCAAAATCCAGAATCTGCAAACCCGGATTCGCGCTGCTGAAGCTCGCAAACGCCAATGCTGGAAATTTCTCTACATTCACTTGAAAATGCAGCAGCCCCTGAGGGAAAACCATGACATCACCCTTGTTAAGAGTCTTGAAATAGACTTTGTTAGCGGAGTCTATGAATCCAGCAGTTATGGAGCCTTGAATTACAATAAGCACCTCCGAAGCTCCAGGGTGCGTGTGCATTGGAATAACCCCACCAATAGCGAAGTCTAGACGAGCTAGGGAGATGCCTAGCCCATTGACACCAGGGAACTGAGCATCAAACGCTGGTGTCACGGCTGCCTTTATGAGGTTTGAGATGTTACCAGAAGCAGCTAAACCGGAGAAGACAAAGTCATCCACCGTGACCGTGGCAGGCTTCTTGCAGGAGTAGCCTGCAGGGCCAAAAGGAGCAGATAAGTCTGCAACACAGAAGTCCTGCACCAAGGCATAGGAGGAGGACAAGAGCAGAGAACTGAGGAAGAATATAGGGATAAACATCTTCACAACAGTTTAATATTCTTGGGATGTGTTTGTTTGAAGAGAATTTGATGCCATTTATATGGAGATATATTGCTAATGGCCATGTCCCATTACAGCGTTTCACGTTTAGAGATGAAAGAATTGGTAGAAAAGACAGATATCTAGCTGTGAGTCACCTGTGATTTAGAGAAGGACAGTAATTCTCTTTTTGTTTGGAAATGCATGAGCAAGAGGAAAATATCTTCTCCTGTTTTTTCATTGTTTCTTTTCTCCTTCAATATAATATTTTCACTGATTTTGATGAACGTCAAAGAAAAGCAGGACAAAGATGCAAAACTGGACCATGGAGCCAAATGATGTGGATAAGAAAAGAAAAGGGATTAAAGTTAGGGCAAAAGACATTTTGACAGCTAATGAGTGAGTCTTTGCAAGTTTTGTTGTCACTTTAAAAGCCATCCATCTAAGAAATGTGTGGACATCAGCCATAAGGAATTCCCCTTACTGCAGGGTGTTCTAGTGTTGTTTTCAAAAACGGACTTTATCAGTTTTGATTACCTTTTTAAAAAATTACCTATAATTTCAGTTTTAATTAAGAAATTATTTTTATATTTTAAAATAATATTTTAAATTTTATATATTGTTATTTTACTCATTTTAATCATTAAAAAATAAAAAAATTATCCAAATAAAATTAATAATTTAGTAGAAAGTGATGAGAAAATTTAAACAAATTTAGAAATTATTAAAAAAAAGTTACATATAAGGTTTTTAGACCAAACTTTTTTGTTATACTTACCATAATCATTATTTTCAAACTAAAACATTTGAAATTGATTTAGTTCGGTTTTTAATAAAAAAAAACTTAAAATTCAATCAAAACCTACCAGTTAGTTATAATTTTAGTTGATTTTTAATTTTTTTTTCAACCCTTTTATTTGCACTCTATATATTATTTTTTTCCTACAATCAACATTTTAAAGAATTTTACCTCCAATCAATTCCCTCCACAATCTAAAATTTATAAAAATAAAAATAAAAATTAACTATTAAACTCTTTATTTGTATTTTGATTTTGTTAATAATTTAAAATTTTTTATGAATTTTAAATTATTAAAAAGATTGATCAGAGGTAAAAGACGATAACTATGTAAAAAAAAAAAAAAGTACATACAAAATGCAAATAAGATATTTGATTTTTTTTTTCTACGATTGTAAATTTTTTCGCCGACCCCTACTTTCCACTCTTCAGAGAGGTAGGGAGTTTCTTAATTTGTCTGCTTGATCAAAGTTCTAGTAGAAAAAGTACAAGAATTCTTTTTATTGGGATTTCCCCAGTTACCTGTAGCCATCCATTTCTTAGCAGCAAAATAAGATGCTCAAGAAACATCAACATCAATGCATGTTTGGTTTTTTTTTTTTTTGGATAAAAGGTGAATTTGCATGTTTGGTTTTTGTGTTCACGTTTACACTTCACATGAAAATTTACCATCATGTTACGTTCTGCTAAAGGAAGGATTAATAATAGGAAAGTATAGCCAGTACTATGTGATTTAATGATTATTATTTTTGTGAGTACATGCTTAAATATGAAGATTTTGAGGTTTATTTTTAAGCATTACTTCTCTTATCGTCGATAATTTCTCTAAATAAAAAAAAAAAAAAAAAGGAGAAAAGTGTAAAAACCAGGCAGGCTCCGCCAAATCAAAAGAAACTAAAGAAAATGATGTAGAGCATTTAAGAAATCACCCTGAAGTCACAAGAAGATAATTAATTAATCTCTAATTCAGTTTTTTTTGCAGCTCTAGGACGTTTGGCCCTGTTCGGTTAGCAGCTTCCTCATCCTCACTGCCAGCTCTGCCTCATTCTGTCTGGCCATAGGCAGGTTATCAAAGGTAGGTTAAAGTTAAGTGAATTTTGACTTTTGACTTTTGACTTTTGAGCCAGTCAATGGAAAGTTCTTGTCTTGGGCCTTGTGTCCAAAGCCCAGCAGCTCTTTTTGGTAAATTAAAGCCCAGCAGCTTTACTACCAAAAATTTCCACAATTGTTGATTTTGAAAAATATAATTATATTATTATGTATTTGATAATGTCTTTTACAAAAGATATTCCATAAAATAAATTTTTACTATATACTATTTTTTTAGTTTAATTTTAGTAGGTATAATTTTTAATTTAATGTGTTTAAATTTACTTATTAATTTTTTAAAAATGTTATTTAATATGCTTATTTTTTATTTTGTCCATATTATAAAAAGATAATTATGAGATATATTAAATAAGAAGGCTTGTAATTAACAAGGGATATATATAAAATTTTATCAATTATTCTCTTCGGTCAAATTTAGTTGTCCTATTTTTTAAATAGGGGTGATTTGATTTAATTGTCACTTTTTTTTTTTTTTTGATATTGGTTGCATAACGGGAGACAACCCTCTCCATTTCTTGTCCCACCTCACTTGCATGTCATGCGACTTAAACTCAAGTCCTTTTACTTTCAATAGAAGAAACTTACTACTGAATTACTTAAATTGTTAGCATCATATTTTTCATTTTAATAATACATTAACTGTATGTTTGGATTAAAGAAAATGAAGGAGAGAAGAGGGGAAGGGACAGAAAGTTTATTACCTTATTCCTTCCTTTTCTTTCCTTCATTTGGATAAATAAATACATTAAAAGAAAAAATAAAAGAAATTCTTTCCCTCCCCTCTAATTCTTTTGATAACTAAATAAAAATAATTTTTCTCTCCCCTTCCCTCCCTTCCTATCAACCCAAATATACTGTAAATGTTAATATTTTGATTTTGTTTTTATCTCAAAAAGATAGGCATGCGTTACAATTTTGTTCACCTTATTTATAAGGATGAAAATAGATACATAAGTTCTAATGTTGTAATAAATGAATTTCTTAGTAATTGTGAATGGATAAAATGAAACAATTAAATCCAATCAGAAGTGTAATTATTACATCATTATTTTAATAAATAAAAAAATTTAATCTATTAAAATTGAACGAATGAAGTATATATATACTCTTTTCATCCTAGAATAAGAGGTACTTTTTATTTATAATTAGTCTCAAAATAATAATATTTTTTTCATATTTTAGAGGAGACAAACATGTTTTTCCTAATTAAGCTTATAATTATCTATTGACTTTAATTTTCTATCATATCAAGAAAAAGTCTCAATTTTTTATTTCTTTTTTAAGGGTAATATAAGTAAAATTATAAATTATCTTTAAACTCTTAATTTGAAGATAAAATAAAATAAATGTTTATTATTTTTGGATGGAGGGGATATGAGTTAGACTTCCCTTATATACAATTTTTACACATGTTACTTATATAAAATCTTTACCATTCATTTCTTTAATATAAATGATTGAGAGTTATTATATTTTTAGATAAAAAAGACAACTATCTTTAAAAAATAAAGTAAAAAGTAGATAAATTTTGATCATTCATAATGAAAGATGTTATCAATCATTTATAATAAAAGATGAATGATTATGACTTTATATAAATGATATGTATAAAAATTATATGCAAATAAATCCAAAATATATCTAAAAAATATATAAAATTTAATTTTAATTTTAGAATCAATGTCACAAGTTGGATTGTACTAATATTTACAGAGGTTGTTTATCTCGTGTCTTAAAGATTTAATAATACATTCTTTTATAATTAATTTATATAAAAAATCACAAAAATTTATTTTATTTTAATATCATTGTCATGTAAGTAATTATAATTGACTAATTAATTAAACTAAAGTCAATATTTAAAAATTTGATACAAATTAATGATAAAAAATGTAAAAATGTATCCAACACAAGTTAAAAAAAATCAATATATATATTAAATTATTTTAACTTTTATAGTGCCTTAGAAATGCTACATCGGATAAATTAACTGTTAATCTATACATTTTTCTTTTAT